TACATACCCTGCACGCTATGTGGGAGGGGCTCACGAGACTTGATATCCCTCTGGTGATTTCACGACTACTGCCCGCGGGCCTATTTGTCTGCAGTGCATTCACGTTCTATGGCGGCGAATCTCCGTACCCGGTACTACATGGCCGACAATCGGCTTGCCCCCCAGACTTTCCCGTGATAGTTCACGAACGAGGGACAGAAACGTCCGATCACAGCGGTGATAAGAACATCAGGGAGGTGAATATCGAGGCCATTACACAGACCACGGCAGTAGTCAGGGTTAACCGAGCCTTGCGCACGAAAGCGACATCAGGTGGACAATGCAACTATCAACCAGGTGATCTCGCTGACTATTCTGGACTGAGCACCACAAAGGGTGAATGGGAATAATGAAGTGGACCATGCCCAATCGCACGAAATTTCCTTGGCCCAGGTCAGGCAGTAGTACAGGTCGGCGGCCGAAGAAGTTTAGTACAGTATCCAGACTTGCGTCACACAGTGTACTCGGAAATATTCATTGTCCTCGAGATTGGCTCCGACACAACAGCCATGCGAACCGTGCTGGCCGTTATCGCGAGCCTGCCATCGGAGAAACTTGGTATGGTGTTTGGCTATGTGCCAACTAAGCAGGGCCGCCTGCACATGGTCACGGCGAGTAGACTCTCGTCGAAGTTACAGTTAGCCTGGCTCTTTCTTATCAGGGACTACTTCCGGATCGAGAATGCAGTAACAGTACGCTTGGTTAAGAGCATCCACTGAGTTCTTTATGCTGGCAGTTGTACACTAATATATTATGACAGCGACGTGCCACCGTGACTCCACTACTACGAATCCGAAGGTACAGCCCTGAATATCCATGACGTCGCTGGGTCCAGGCTCGCACGTATCATCCAACGCCTCAGGTCTTCAGAACCCTCAGTGGGCTTCGATGAAGACCGATCGAAGTTTGAGGAACTGGCGAGCTCGACGCCGTCGAGCGGTCACGCTCAGGAGGCAGGACGATCCTGTGCTCGTGCCTCTAACAACGGACGACTTCCGGCTATCAGCGAGGAGTCAGAGATGGATTTGAAAACGCGCATTTTGGAAGCATAGTACCTTGAACTCCAGGAAGAAAAGAATCTCGCGGAGGAAATTCCAGTGGAGTCCTTATTTACGGTGCGTGCCGAGATGCTTACCGAAGACCATGTGCTTGTGACTGTGGCCAGTGAGGAGCGAGGGAACTTGCGCGCGACGGGCTGTTGCCAGGGCGGCGCAGAGGAGACGTACTTCGCCCCCCTTTACCACCGAATGCGACGAGACCTACGGTCTGGATTCGGACGATCACGGTTCGCATTTAGAGCTATGTTTTCATTATTGATATGTCCGAAGCTGTCTCGACAGAACAGCAGCACAACATATTCCACGATGGCCAGATAATAACCACTATGTGTGTATATGTGTAAGCCGCGTCTAAAAGAGCTGATTCTGTCAAGCAAGACGACCTCCTAGCGAGGGCCGAAATGCAGACAACCCCTGTCGAGATAGCTAAATCTTTGCGCGCTGACTGCTGTCAGATGCAGGGATCAGAAGCGCGATGAGCATCATGACATCAAGGTGTGGGGGCACATGGACATTCGCGAAGAACGGCAAGGGCGAGATGGGGCGCACCATCAGACTACGCCTAGTACTTCGCGGATTCATGGATGTCGACACCGTCGACGTGGGGGCCTTTTCAGGTGCAGCCAGGCGAGCGGGTCGCAGACTGCTCGCAAACGCGGCCGCGTGCAAGAAATCTTGGACTATCGCGTCCACGGGTGTCGATGAGGCTTTCTTGGAGGTCCTGGGGTGTCGCGAAGTAGCTGGGGCCGCTGGGGCGACGAAGCGCATGGTCTGCTTCGCGCTCCCGCCTGGCCCTGCATCGGTGCTGCGTGCGCTGCCGGGCTTTCGTTCGCGCGATTCGAGGCACTGTTTGCAATGCTTAAAGCCAGGCGCTGGCGCCAAGGACGCCCGTGGGCGTTTTCGCTGAAACTCAGGACCATCGCGACGTCTTCGTCGTCGCCCGCCCCGATGTTCTCAGCGCCGGACTACTGCGACTGCGACCGGAGATGGCAGGGCTCACGGGCCGCGCGCGAGACTCGGCGAGGCCAGCGGGCCCGCGACTGCGTCGCCGTCCCGCGCGGCGGCCGCGGCGGAGGCGGCGCTGGCCGCGGCGGCTCCTGGAATTGCGGCCGCGCCGGCAGCGCCAGTGGCCTCGGCATCTTCCACGGTGCCATCGCAATGAACGCGACATCGGTGGGCGCGAGTGGGCAGTGCGTTCCCCTTTGGGACAAGCGGTGGGGTGCGACTGGGTGGGCGACCTCAACGCGCGAGACGACGTGCCTCCAGCCCTGCCTGCCGACGTGAAATTGCTGAGCTGGGCATCCATGCCCGCCGTTGAGGAGGCCCAGGCAAAAAATGACCCCCCCACGTGTAAGTCGGACAGAAAAGCAGCCGACATCCAGCTGGCCACGGCGACTGTGTGCACCTCAGCAACCGTGTGCAACAGAGCACCGCTGTTGCAGATACAACTGTTTTAAAATAAGTAGTCCTTATGACAACATGGGGCGTTTGTGGATTCAGCAGACATGGTTTTCTACAGGATTGGGAAAGAATCCCAATGGGAACAGGCACGCCGCTGAAATCAATGAGTCCTCGGGAATCCGTCCACATCATCCTAACTCCCATTTTGCGTCCAGGAGGCTCCAGCTAAATTGGCCGTCCAAGAGGCAAGAGGATTGATTCAATCGACCATTCTGCGGTGCACGCTAAGATGCGCACGTGCGCTGTAGCGCCGACCCGCACGACAGGGGGGAAGGGTGAGGGAGGAGGAAAAGAGGGGACGAGGAGGATGAGGAGGAGGAGGAGGAGGAGGAGGAGGAGGAGGAGGAGGAGGAGGAGGAGGAGGAGGAGGAGGAGGAGGAGGAGGAGGAGGAGGAGGATGTGGAGGTGGAGGCGGGACGAAGGAAAACGTCGCATTCTATTCTCAGCACTTCCTTGGCGTGGCGTTTAGCTGTCCGCAGCAGATCATCACCAACATGTTCCTTTTACCTGTCCTGTGCACGCAGGCGCCGTGGTGTACACCAGCGATGCGTTGCACGCGGATGCTGTGGTGTGGACAGGCGATGTGATGTGAACAGGCGCTGCGGTGCACAAAAACATTGTGGTGTAGACAGGCGCTATGTTGCACATGGCTGCTGCGGTGTGCACACTCGCTGTGGTGTACACCGACGCTGTGGTGCACAAAAGCACCGTGGTGTACGCAAGCGCTGCGTTGCACACGGCTGTTGCGGTGTACGCAGGCGCTGTGGTGTACACATACACAGGCGCTGTGGGGCAGATCGCCACCTACATGCTGCTCGCGGGGGGTGTTACGTCATACCCCTCCCCGCCCCCCCTCCCCCCATGTCGCCCGTCATCGCCGAAAATAAACAAACCCGCTCCTGGAAAGCAAGTCAACTGCTCAGCCGGTCAACCTGTCAGCTGGTGATGCTGGTCACCCAGTCAGCCGTTCAGCTGGCCACCTGGTCACCCGGTCAGTCGGTCGGCCGGTCAGTGATGATGTTGTTGTTTTGATGTCGTCGTCCATGCTGATGATAATGCTAATGATGATGATGGTGATGATGATTCTGGTGATGATGATTATGCTGGTCATGGTGATGATGATGATGATGAGGATTATGATGATGATGATCATGGTGGTTGTGATGATGCTGATGCTAATGATGATGATGGTGATGTCGATGATGCTGATGCTGATGACGACAACGATGATGATGATGATGATGGTGGTGGTGGTGATGATGATGATGGTGATTGTGAAGATCATGCTGATGATGCTGCTGATGATGATGATGCTGGTGATGTTGATATTGATGATAGTGATGACGATGACGATGCTGATGATGGTGATGATGATGATGATGATGATCCTGATGATAACGATGATGTCGGTGGTGATGATGATGCTGATGTTGATGATGATGCTAATGATGATGATGATGATGATGATGATGATGATGATGATGATGATTGTGACGCTTATGATGATGACGATGATGATGCTGATGAGGATGCTGGTCATGATTAAGATGATGATGCTGCTTCCGATGATGTTTATGATGCTGATGATGACGATGATGCTGCTGATGGTGACGGTGACGATGATGATTATGCTGATCCTTATTCTGATGATGATGATGATGATGATGATGTTGTTGTTGTTCAGGATGATGCTTATGTTGATGATGTTAATGATGTTGATGTTGGTGATACCGATAACGATGATGCTGATTCTGATGATGATGATGATGACGATGATGATGATGATGATGATGATGATGATGATGATGATGGTCATGCTGATGATGAAGATGATGATGATGATGATGATGATGATGATGCTGAATATGATGATGATGGTGAGGATGATTGTGCTGGTGGTGATGGTGATGGTTGTCTTGGTGGTGGTTGTGGTGGTCTTGGTGGTGGTGATGGTGATGGTGTTGGTGATGATGACGATGATGATGCTGATGGTCCTGGTGATGGTGATGGTAATGATGATGATGATGATGATGATGATGATGATGATGATGATGATGATGATGATGCTGATGATGATGATGATGATGATGGTGATGATGATGATGATGATGCTGATGATGGTGATGGTGACGGTGTTTGTGATTATGATGATGATGCTGCTGCTGCTGATTATGCATTTCCTGAGGAGGATGATGGTGTGGTCGTGGTGAGATGATGGTGGTGATGATGATGATAATGATGAGGACGGCGAATGATGATGATGACGACGATGATGACGATGATGATGACCATGATGATGATGATGATGATGATGATGATGATGATGATGATGATGATGATGATGATGGTGATGGTGATGGTGATGGTGATGGTGATGGTGGTGGTGGTGATAATTATGATACTGATGATGTCCACGGCCATTTTGGTTCAGGCCTTCTTTGGGTCCACTAGGCGTTGCGCTGCACGTAGTCTCTGTGGCATTGAGCTCTCGACCCGTCAAACTCGCAGCTCTCTCTGTCTCTCTGCGATGAGTCTCCACATGCCAAAAAAGGATATTGATGTGAGGGCAGCGCGTGTTGCAGCTCACCAGAAAGCGTACAAGGGCCCCGTACTTATACGTGAAGTTGCGGACAAGGGGCCTGGGGGCATTGCTCTCCACGCGAATAAGCACGTGCATTGTTGCCAGACTTTCTGGAAAGCAGATTTTGGGAGCGAGTCCGTGGAGCAAAAGGCTGCAGGTGAAGCGGCGCTGGTGGGTTACAACGTTCCTGACGAAGATGGGAATGAGGCGCAGACTGAGCAGGCGTCAGACGAGGAGGCTGTGCTTCAGGGGGACGTGCACAAGTTGAGCGCAAATCAGAGGCGCGCCTTATTATGCCTCGGGGAGGCTCGTCAGCATTCACGGTTCAAGCTGAAGCAAATCTCCTTGAGTTTCAGTGGCGCGTCCGTCTTCTTCTTCTCGCCCAGCCGCAAGGACGGAACACCCATGCCGTCATCAGTGCTGAAATTCGACGTTGCTGCCAACGTGAAGGAGGAGATTGAGTTGACCGAGCGGTACGGGAAGTTGTTTGGCTTGACAACTCCGAAAGTTAAGGATTCTCAATTTCTTGAAGACGTCTCCGAAGACGAACCATGTGCTGTCATGCAGATTGACCTATGCGGTGGCATATTTGGTCTTCCCGAGTTTGCTTCTGCCCCACCTGTGCTCACCTTTGCGTCAGTAATCCAGGGTGAGTTTACTTCTGGGAAGCGCCAGACTGATGTGGTGCCCATCGTCAACGAGGCCCTGACCCGACGCATGCTTGCCTTCACGATGTCTACGCGTTCCGTCAGGAAGGAGAATCTAGCCAAGATGTACAAGATTGTCCGCTTTGTCGGCCACGGCATCCTCAATCGAGCTGTGGAGGGTGCGAAACGTAGCAAACACAATGCTGCATTGGGCTTCGGATTTCTGACGCCACCCGACATCGATGACCTAGATCCCGAAGGCAAGTTCGTCAGTGAGTTGTGCGGCAAACGTTCTACCATCAAGCGCTTCTTCCAAGAGTTCATTGAGCAGGAGCAGCGATTCAATAAAAAGTTTGACCGGCAAATAGTTTGTGGCTTGGCGCACAACGATTTGCACGGCGGGAATCTACTGCTCGACTCACAAGGGCTAGTCTGGCTGATAGATTTCGCGACCGTGAAGGACAACGTCCACGTGCTCATGGACCTTTCAAAATTCCTTGCGTCTTGCCTCTTCTTGTATCTGGAGGATAATGTGAACGAGTCGCACATCCAAACGTTTGCGAAGCTGCTTTTCGCTACACCCGATGCCACAACAGCGCTGCCTTTAATCGGAGGGGAGCAGCTCAAGAGCGATCCGACGGCTACGTTTGTGCTTGAGCTGCTGACACGCATCAGGCACTGTCTCTGCATTTACGAGATTGGTGACGACGTCCCAGACAACGACGGCGTTCCATTCGCTTTAGCTTTCTTCTCGTGGTCGGCGCGAATGCTATCATACAGTGAGCCGAGCATGCACCAGAAGACCCGTGCTTCTTTCTTTGCCCTTGCAGGTGCTCAGCGAGTGATGTGGGAAGCTGGCGTTGACGTCGGACCCACAGCGCTGGAATGGATTGAACAGTACCGCACAGTCTGGGAGGGCCAGAAAGGCCGCCGGCTGAGTACCAGTGCGACACACGTGCAGGTTGCTTCTTTCGAGTTTGAATCTGACTTTCCTAGGTATTTGGCGCAGATTGGGACAGCGGAGGCGTGGTCCACTGACTTCCTCACCCGCGAGAAAGTACACGTGACTGACCATTGTATCAAAGTGGACGTGAAGTTCAGTGGGCGCATTTTCCCGCGTAGCCTACAGCTGCCGAAGAGCGTGAAGATTGTCTGCGAGAAGTTGCGCATGGTCCACCAGCAGTATCTACCAGAAGTGCTGAGTCAAGAAAGATATCAGGGTCGGGTATTCGTGATTGGCGATTCCGGGAGCGGGAAGACTCTCATGACGAAGCAGCTTTTCTCGGAAGTGGCACAGCAACAGCTGCTCGGCATCCGCGATGAGCCAGGAGACATGGCGGGTACCACGAGAATCAGCGGCATGAACCTCATCCCCGTCCGGACTCCACTTATCGACTTGGCTAGGCAGCTTGAGGCTAACCCGGACCTGCCTCTGGGGGCCGACCCGATCTGCGACTTGCTATCCGAGTGGATGCAAAGAAAGCATGGCCACGATTCCATCCCGCACAAGCTGGTCTATACTGTGCGAAATTGGTGCCTTGGTGCTGCTGACCGCGCGTCCAGGAGGACATCTGTTCTTTCGGCATCGGAAGGAGAAGATGCAACACGCGAGAAAGCTATCGGAGACCCCCAGCATTCAGAAGACATCAAGGCGTTGTTTCTGTTGTTCGATGGTCTGGACGAGGCAGCTTCCTCTCGGTTACAGGTGCTGGAATTCATCCGGTCGATACTGCAAAGCGAGCCGTCACACCTCTGTGTTCTCACATCGAGGCCAGGTAATTTGGGACCCTCGGAGTATGACTTGCTCGCGTCGCTGGCTTTCGTCTCGTTCAGGATGGGTGCTTTGACTCTCCCACAGGCTGAAGACGTTGTGCAGCGTACACTCACACGCGCTCAAGAAGCGCATGAGACGATCAGCGCCATCCGAAGCAGTGTGTCTGACCCGGGCTATTCCTCCCTCAGGGAGAATCCCCTCATTTTGACATTGCTCATCCATGTGCTTCGGAAGTTCCACTCTCAGAGTACAGAAGGCAAGAGTCTTCCACTGACAGATGACCGTGCACGAAAGGATGTCATGAAGAAGACTGATATCTACCAGCGTGCTGTGAAGCTCATGTTGCATCAATCTGATGCTGCAAAGTTCGCGATGCGGGATGGAGCCAATGACCAAGCGATGGTTCGCAGGCTAGAGATGTTGAAGAGCGTACGGGCACGACAGCTCTTCCAGTCAGTGTCGTTTCATTTGCACCAATTGAGGCTGCGCTCGACTTCCTGGACAGGCATAGAGCACGCCTCAGACGACAATGGTATGATCGTGGTGCTGAAGGATGCGTTTCAGCAGGGGCGCATGCCCATCTTAGAGAAAGTTGAAGTGTTCGATGCGGAGCCTGAGGTGCAGCTTACGCACCTGTCATTCCAGGAGCTGATGGGCGGTGAGTATTGCGCGGCGATCGTTTGCCATGCTCATTCTCAGAAGAAAATGCGAGCATACGTAAACTCCATCCTATCTAGCAGTTCGCAGTGTTTGGACCGCGAGCGGCTGTCCGAGAGCTGGTGGCTCCAAGTGTGGTTCCACGTCTTTGAGATGCTGGACTCAGATGTTCTCGAGCAGTACTGCGCGATCTTGGCCGAGGACGAGCGTGCACTCTTGAAGGTAGGGAGCATGGCTCTTTCATTCAGCTGCAGCCACCCTCTGGGCTATCTTATCCTTGACAAGGCGATTCATGGTACACCAATGGACCACCGGCCCTGGGTGGGAGACGGTTCCGGGTATATGATTGCTGCAATCCATTGGGACGAATACGAAACGGATGTAGTTTGGGATGACAGGGATTGCAACAAGAGGTGGTTTCATGGTCATTTTTTTCTTGCCCGGGTCATGGTCCCAACTCTGGTTGACAGCAATTGTTGGCGCCTAGATGGCGTCGGCACATTGTTGAGGCATGCGGCCAGTCTGCCCGACTTAGAGGTCTTAGACACATTGCTTTCTAAGGGCGTCCACCCATGCCTACTCTCTGATGAGGGCCATTCTCTCTTCGCGCTTGCCAGCATGGGCAAGAAGTGGCAGGCAGTTCGCATCCTACGCGAGCATAGGAATGATTACGATTTCATGAACTGGATCACTCACAATACGTGGTGGCACTGGGCTTGCGGGCGTGAAGACCCTGGCTTTGTGAAGGCATGGGATATGAACAGCACCTTGGACCAGCTGGCCGGTTTCAAGCCGTATGGCACTTTGCAAAAAGCCTGGGATGGGACTTTGAGTATTGTTGATGATGTGGACGTGAATTTCGCGGATCCTACAACAGGCCTAACTCCTTTAATGCTTGCTGCGTCATGCGGCAGGGTGGAGGTTGTGCACGCCCTCATAATGCACAGGGCTTCTGTGAACGCCGAGAGTGCAGAGAAGTGCACCGCGCTCTCAATGGCTGCAGACATGGACAATGGCGATGAAGGCTTGGAGTGCATGAAGCTGCTCATCAATGCCCGTGCCGACGTCCACGCCAAAGTCGGGATGACCATGAAGCGTCCTTTTTGGAATCTCACGGGCCAGGAGAACAGCATTCTGGCCGGACCAGCGCAGGCTGGATATTTTGACAAGCTGAAGCTTCTTCTCGAGAGTCGTGCTGATCCCAATTCGCCAAACAATTTGGATTTCGCTCCGCTGATCCAGTGTGTTCGGTCGAACAATGCGGATTGCGCCAAGCTTCTCGTTGAGCATGGAGGTGATTTTTTCAGATGGTCCAGTAAGCTCATTTCGCTGCAGCACAAACCAGGCCTTCTCATGAACTACAACACACGCTGTAATTATATGAGCTGGAGCCCAGGTGCTGACGCTGTCCATGCTTGGTATATGTATGCAGCGGAGAACAAGGACATCCTCCGCCTCGCGTTCGGGCTGGGCATGGACGGGAATGCCTGCTTTTACTCTGGACTTGCAGGCAACACGTGGCTTCCGAAAGCTGGTTACAATCTCACGAATGATTACTGGTTCTTCGTAGAGGGCACCTCTGCTACATTTGAGCTCTATGTAAAGCATGGTCTGGACATCAACAGGCCTTCGGGCCCCATGCGGCTGAACCTCCTGATGATAACAGGCTGGTCTTCCAACAATGCGGCGATCCTTACGCATATGCTGGAGAACTGCCCAGATCCCGACGAGGCCCTGGCGTACAGGTCCAAATTCCTGGGGAGCTTGGAGGACGGCGCAAGGATTATCGGGCTTGCAGCTATCGTGGAAGCCATCGAGGACTTCAAGCGCAAGCGGGCGGATCAGGAAGGACCCTCACCCCAGCCTGCTTGACAGCAGAAGCGGGGGGCAGAGAGTATCAGCCGCTGCTGCTTCTTCGACGCTTGAGATCGACTGCCTCTCACCAAGCGGAAGATTGCCGGCAAACCTTGATTCCCGCCGGTGGGCAGTAAGGACCAGGGCTATGTGGAAGGTTCTCACAGCATTTTTGGGGAAGAGGGTCGTTTTGAATTCGTTTTTTGGTGTTCTTCCGTCGCAGCGGTACACGCTCTCCACGCCGCTGGTTGCTGCCATTCAGACGTAATCTTCAATCGCCACATTTCAGGTCATAACACCACGTCTGATGTGTCAGGGCGAGCGCCGAACTTTTGATGGCAGTATTCGCATAGCACGTGTTTGCTTTCCTCTAGTTGGAGGTTTGTTTTGCGAGGCCAGAACTGCCATGCGTTCGGCCTCGCCGAGAAGGCTGGCCGCAGATGAGATTAACATCTGTGCCGAGCACGAGCTCAGCTCGCCTTCTATTGGCCTTTGCAGCGCGTTCCCCTGTTTTGTCAGACCTATTTCGTGGCGAGGCTGGGACCTCAAAGGATACCCACGAAGCCTCCCACGCGGCCCGATTCGTCCAGAGACTACTTATCGAGGCAAGCTCGGAAGCGATGTTGCGTCTCGATCTACTCTGGAGCATCGACAAATCAAACAGTGACCCATAAATATCCACAGCGCTTTGCGGCACCAAGTCCGGAAAGCAGGTTGGGGTTTCACGGAACAGCCGAAGTTGTTGGGGTTTTTGTGGATCAGCGAAGGGCCATATTGAGGCCGTCCTGGGCCCGTTGGGCTCGTCTGGCGTGCTTTTGGAGTCCTTTGGGCCTTCGCAGCTGTTTGGTGGCGTCCCCATGGGAGGCAACCTTGAGCGGCTTGGACGCTGGGGCACGTTCTCCCAAGTTGGTGATCGCTTGCGCTGCGGGTCGGATTCGGGAACGAGGAGGAGACGGAGGGCGAAATCACGAGGAGGAGGAGGAGGCGCAGCAGTGGGCGGGAGGAGGGCCTCCGCAGAGCGAATGGGAAAAAACGAGGGGCACATTAAATTGATTCTCATGTGGGGTCCCACCGTTGAAGTAATTTATTTCGGCCAAACCTCTTGTCGGGATGTTTTGCTGAGGAGTGTTTTCGTTTGTAGGGGTCTTTGTGCTGATTTAGATGATTCGTTGGTTCTAGTCACTGACAGTCACTTGTGGGATGACGTGTTTTCGTTGGTGGGGTAGTTGTGATTATTTGATTTCTGTTTTTGCTCCATTTTGCAAGATGACCGCTTCTATTTCCCTACCTAGGCTCTGCCTAGAAGGGTTCTTACTCTCTTAGCTTAAAGGGGCCGGGCAGTGGAAAGCGCCCCGGGCGGTTCCCCCGGTCCCCTGGGAGCGGTTCCCCCCAGTCCCCTGGGAGCTTTAGCTTTAGCTTTAGCTTTAGCTTAGCTTTAGCTTAGCTTTAGCTGTAGCTTAGCTTTAGCTTAGCGTTTCGCTTAGCTTTTCGCTTAGCGTTTCGCTCAGCTTTAGCTTATCTGTTGCTCAGCTTTAGCTTAGCTTGAGCTTAGCTGTAGCTTAGCTTTAGCTTAGCTTTAGCTTAGCTTTAGCTTAGCTTTAGCTCAGCTTTAGCTCAGCTTTAGCTTATCTTTAGCTTAGCTGTACCTTAGCTTTAGCTTATCTGTTGCTCAGCTTTAGCTTAGCTTTAGCTTAGCTTTAGCTTAGCTTTAGCTTAGCTTTAGCTTAGCTGTGGCGTAGCTTTAGCTTAGCTTTAGCTTAGCTTTAGCTTAGCGTTACTGTTACTACTAATGCTGCTTTCCTAGGGGTTCCAACTCCTAGGTAGGGTCGCACTGGGATAATTTATAGAATTGAGTGTGCTGGTTGATTAAGGCCAATTGTTGATTAACATGTATTCGGTTTTTCGAAGCTATAGCTGTGATCATGATTATGTGTGAAATATAGGTAACAGTGAAAGCTAATATGGGGTGCCAGATGTCAACAATGAACGTTCTGATCGACGCCATAACAGTGATAACAGCAGAGTTAAGATGGGAGTGCACGAAGCTAGGTCTACTTCCGGCGTTGCAACATTCTTGAGGCTGGTCATTCAATTTCAGAACTTATGCAGTACATCCTTCACTTGTACATGCAACCGGGATTGGCCTCTGTAATTTTGGACTTGGCCGAGGGCCAACGTGCCACGATTATTGAAGCGCGCAGCGGAGTTCTAATACATACCCTGCACGCTATGTGGGAGGGGCTCACGAGGCTTGATATCCCTCTGCTGATTTCCCGATTACTGCCCGCGGGCCTATTTGTCTGCAGTGCATTCACGTTCTATGGCGGCGAATCTCCGTACCCGGTACTACATGGCCGACAGTCGGCTTGCCCCCCAGACTTTCCCGTGATAGTTCCCGAACGAGGGACAGAAACGTCCGATCACAACGGTGATAAGAACATCAGGGAGGTGAATATCGAGGCCATTACACAGACCACGGCAGTAGTCAGGGTTAACCGAGCCTTGCGCACGAAAGCGACATCAGGTGGACAATGCAACTATCAACCAGGTGATCTCGTTGACTCTTCTGGACTGAGCACCACAAAGGGTGAATGGGAATAATGAAGTGGACCATGCCCAATCGCACGAAATTTCCTTGGCCCAGGTCAGGCAGCAGTACAGGTCGGCGGCCGAAACAGTTTAGTACAGTATCCAGACTTGCGTCACACAGTGTACTCGGAAATATTCATTGTCCTCGAGATTGGCTCCGGCACAACAGCCATGCGAACCGTGCTGGCCGTTATCGCGAGCCTGCCATCGGAGAAACTTGGTATGGTGTTTGGCTATGTGCCAACTAAACAGGGCCACCTGCAAATGGTCACGGCGAGTAGACTCTCGTCGAAGTTACAGTTAGCCTGGCTCTTTCTTATCAGGGACTACTTCCGGATCGAGAATGCAGTAACAGTACGCTTGGTTAAGAGCATCCACTGAGTTCTTTATGCTGGCAGTTGTACACTACTATATTATGACAGCGACGTGCCACCGAGACTCCACTACGAATCCGAAGGTACAGCCCTGAATATCCATGACGTCGCTGGGTCCAGGCTCGCACGTATCATCCAACGCTTCAGGTCTTCAGAGCCCTCAGTGGGCTTCGATGAAGACCGATCGAAGTTTGAGAAACTGGCGAGCTCGACGCCATCGAGCGGTCACGCTCAAGAGGAAGGACGATCCTGTACTCGTGCTTCTAACAACGGACGACTTCCGGCTATCAGCGAGGAGTCAGAGATGGATTTGAAAACGCACATTTTGGAAGCATCGTACCTTGAACTCCAGGCAGAAAAGAATCTCGCGGAGGAAATTCCAGTGGAGTCCTTATTTACGGTGCGTACCGAGATGCTTACCGAAAGCCATGTGCTTGTGACTGTGGCCAGTGAGGAGCGAGGGAACTCGCGCGCGACGGGCTGTTGCCAGGGCGGCGCAGAGGAGACGTACTTCGCCCCCCTTACCACCGAATGCGACGAGACCTACGGTCTGGATTCGGACGATCACGGTTCGCATGTAGAGCTATGTTTTCATTATTGATATGTCCGAAGTTGTCTCGACAGAACAGCAGCACAACATATTCCACGATGGCCAGATAATAACCACTATGCGTGTATATGTGTGAGCCGCGTCTAAAAGAGCTGATTCTGTCAAGCAAGACGACCTCCTAGCGTGGGCCGAAATGCAGACAACCCCTGTCGAGATAGCCAAATCTTTGCGCGCTGAACTGAAAATGCGGTTCGACAATGACTGCTGTCAGATGCAGGGATCAGAAGCGCGATGAGCATCATGACATCAAGATGTGGGGGCACATGTATATTCGCGAAGAACGGCAAGGGCGAGATGGGGCGCACCGTCAGACTACGCCTAGTACTTCGCGGATTCATGGATGTCGACACCGTCGACGTGGGGGCCTTCTCAGGTGCAGCCAGGCGAGCGGGTCGCAGACCGCTCGCAAGCGCGGCCGCGTGCAAGAAATCTTGGACTATCGCGTCCATGGGTGTCGATGAGGCTTTCTTGGAGGTCCTGGGGCGTCGCGAAGTAGCTGGGGCCGCTGGGGCGACGAAGCGCATGGTCTGCTTCGCGCTCCCGCCTGGCCCTGCATCGGTGCTGCGTGCGCTGCCGGGCTTTCGTTCGCGCGATTCGAGGCGCTGTCTGCAATGCTTAAAGCCAGGCGCTGGCGCCAGAGATCCCCGTGGGTGTTTTCGCTGAAACTCAGGGCCATCGCGACGTCTTCGTCGTCGCCCGCCCCGATCTTCTCAGCGCCGGACTACTGCGACTGAGACCGGAGATGGCAGGGCTCACGGGCCGCGCGCGAGACTCGGCGAGGCCAGCGGGCTCGCGACTGCGTCGCCGTCCCGCGCGGCGGCCGCGGGGGAGGCGGCGCTGGCCGCGGCGGCCCCTGGAGTTGCGGCCGCGCCGGCAGCGCCAGTGGCCTCGGCATCTTCCACGGTGCCATCGCAATGAACGCGACATCGGTGGGCGCGAGTGGGCAGTGCGTTCCCCTTTGGGACGAGCGGTGGGGCGCGACTGGGTGGGCGACCTCAACGCGCGAGACGACGTGAAATTGCTGAGCTGGGCATCCATGCCCGCCGTTGAGGAGGCCCAGGCAAAAAATGACCCCCCAAGTGTAAGTCGGACAGAAATGCAGCCGACATCCAGCTGGCCACACCCGTGTTCTCGCCCATCCTTGCACGTGGCTTTTTTTTCTTCCCTGCGGCTGGCTTTTTGGGGTGCGCGGTTAGCGTTGCTATGGCGCGGCAGTCTCTCGCGAGTGTGTCAGGCTGGCGCGGCCAGCGATGGCGTCGTAGCGAACGGCGCCGAATCGTTGCGATTGCGTCCGCTTTGGGGCCGTTCGCGCGCGCTTCGTCATTCGATTCTTTTTGAGCTTTCTCCGGTCCGTTTCGCGCGCGGCGGCCCTGGCGCCGACGCTGCCATTTGCCGCGATGAAAATGCGGCGGCCCAAAAACGCTGCATCCCGCCGATGCGGAGGTCCACATCGAACCAAAAACGTCTGTTCAAGTATGTTTGAATTGCTTCCATTGCTTCCATTATCACTATCGCATTCGTCGTCGCCAACAGTTCTCCTTTTTTCTTCGCGTTACTGGTGTCTTCCCAGGCCTGCGCAGGCCCGGCCCCTTATCCTCTCCCCCTGCCCTTTTTTTTTTTTTTTTTTTTTTTTGTTTCCTTTTCTCAATCCTCATCGATGGTCCCTCCTCCTATCCTCTTCCTGGCTCGCGTTGTCTTCCCTCTAGCCTCCCTCATCCGCCCTCCTTCAACCTCTGTCCTCTCCATATTTCCCTCGCCGCCTTCCCGCTTTCCTTTCGCGCCCTTTTTGCCGTTCTTCCCGCCGCTCGCTCCGGGCGGTCTTCCTTCCCCCTCCTGCAGCCGTGCTCCCCCGTCGCGTTCTTCCTGTTTCCCATCGCGCCCCTTCTTCCTGCGAGGTCCCATGAAGCCGTGTTGGGGCCCCCGGGGAGAGGGCCCGCGGCTGGGGCGCGGCTTGGCGGCGGCTGGGCGGCGGCGGGGCCGCGGCGGGGATTCGGGTGGGATTTTGCTGGCGGTGGCTTTTTTTAGAGGGGTGGCAGCTTCTTTGGGGGCGGCGGCCGGGCGGCGGCCGGGCCGCGGCTGGGCGGCGGCGGGGCCGCGGCGGGGCCGCGGCGGGGATTTGGTTGGGATATTGCCCGGCGGCGGCTGGGATTTGGCTGGGACTGTTGCCGGGCGGGGGGCCCGCTGGCCGTATGGCGTGAACGCAGCGAAGTTGTGGATCGCGACTTGTGTTGGTCAGGGCGCCCTCGGCTTGCTGCCCGGCGCCCTCGTGTCTTGGCAGGCTGCGTATTCGGCGTATTTTTCCCTACCTAGGCTCTGCCTAGACGGGTTCTTGCTCGGTAAACTTAGGGTTCCGGGCAGTGTAATGCGCCCC